CTAGTGAAAATCTTCGTTTTTAAACATATACTTCAGACCTTTTTTCTCAAAAGTATATAGAGGAAAACCTAGGCTGGAGCCCCCACACAATAGTTGACTGGCGCTCTTTTTCAAGTGAAGTGTGTGCGAATGTTAAAAAAAAAAAAAAAAAAAAAAAAAAAAAACTTCGGGACTTCTCGGAGAAGAGGGAAGGGTCGTGGAGTGCGACGAAAGTTGCTTGGTGGTGGTGGTGGGGGGGGGGGAGTTCAACCGAGGCCGAAAGGCGTTCAAAGGTTTCTTTTTTTTTTTTTTTTTTTTTTGTACATAAGTAAAAAATAAACTCAAAAACACTGACAAAACTTATTAAAGAACACATATCACCTGGTGCCACTATATATACTGACCAGGGGGGGGGGGATACAGCCTCTTGAAAAAAGTAGGATACAATCCCCAAACCGTGAACCATTCAATTGAATTCGTATCCTCGAGCAACAAAAACGTACACACGCAAAACATAGAACGTCTTTGGAGCTCAATCAAAAGTTGGGAACAACGACCGGGGAAACTGCAGCAATATTACGGGCAATATTTTGCTCGCAATGCTTTTTGTGCTCGGTATAAACCAAAAAGGCGTTTATGTGCATTCCCCCGGGCCGCTGCACAACTCTGTCCCCCATCACATTAAAGCGGGTAAGTTTGAACCTCAATACGTAAAAGTAGTACAATATTTGTAAACGTTGCATTTACCATTTACTTACTTTAATCGACCACCATTTTAAGCATTAATGTGACAGTGCGTGCATACAATAGCAAGACATGTTTTGATACATTTAACCGGAATGGATTTAGTAAAGTCGTACCGCTGAAATACCAGGGATGATACAAAATATAATACTCATTGCCACTTCGCATAGAACGAAAATTTTTAATAGTATTGGAATAACGTGTGCGTGTATAAGTATATGGTTATATATTTTGTTTATGTATTTTCAAACATGATTATTACAAGGACGCAGATTCAACAGCTATCTACGCTTCATTTTTAGGCTAGCGATATAATGTAACGTTATTTGCTACAGGTCTACCTAAAGCAGAATAGTATTAATCCTCACGGTTGTGCTGTAATTCGAAACACATCATGCATGTTTGTATGCATATATGTATATGTATGCGTAGTAAATGTTTGTATATATATATGTCTATATATCCATATATGTACATAATTGTAAGAATATATCGCGCGTAACAAGAAATCGCAAAGGATATTGTGCATGTAAAGTATGGTATACCTTGTGTAGTTGACATTACTAGCAAATCGGTGGTTTGTGCTGTATGACAAAAGCTAACCAATGAAAACTTAAGTGACGTCACTTTAACTGACCAATCAAAATGCGTAAATTCATGGAAGCTCTGCTCTCCTCCCACAAATGGTTCAGTCTGCCTTTGTCTGTTGTTGAGAGGAAACAAGTGTTGAAATTTTATATGTATAAAAAGCCGGCTTATTGCTTGCCGGTGCAAGATGTAGGGTAGAGGTTGAAGACCGCGACGTGCGTAGACAGAGGAAAATGGACACAGCCATCTTATAGAGCGGGAAAAATAGAAGGGGATAGCGTATAGTTTAAGATGCACCGGCCTTATAGTCACCGCTAAATGACGAAAATATAACGCGCGGCCGCCTTTCAAATTCAAAGTCGATGAGCTTATTTACCTTGCGAGGAAAAAACACGACACTGACCCACGAACGCATTTTGCGTTCGCGAACTAGTCCGTGTATCATTACGCGCTTGTCAAAACGATATTTGGCCAATTATCTGTGTCTGCTGGTACGCATTTATACCTTTAAAGTCTTTTAGTAATGTTATTATACTTCATTTGCATATCTTTATATTTATCTATACCCTCATATCGAATCCTGCGCATCGAGTGTTTCGCACTTTCTTGCGCCAGCCACAGGTTGACATTCACCATGCCGCTCATTTCGAGATTGAAAGCCGGTGAAAAAAATTTGGGACCAAGTGAGATCAGGGTCCCGTTCACTCCCCTAGAAAATAAAAAAAATATGTTGAAGAGAATTTATTTAGGATGTTGCTGTTCCTTCTCTAGAG